ACTCACTGTTTGCTCTTCATCTTCCCCTGGATGTCAATCATCGATATCATTTTCTATTTCCCAGAATATCTAAAGTCTTTCCAAGTACAACAAATCATCAAGAAGTGTTTTAACTTCTGGCCAAGATGGAGGTGTAAGTGGAAATACTGTGCCTCCTTGCACAACCAAGTTTAAAGACAACAAAGTTTTAGTAACAAAAAAGCAACTAAAACACAGAAATTGAACTATACAGAAGTCCGACAACAGCGAACGGTTCAGCCAGACCAGTAAGAGAGGTGGAGCCAGCAACTGGCAGAGCGGGGTTGTGCAGGAAAACTTGGCCAGACTGACCCAGGCGTGTGGGCGGCAGTTGGCAGATCCCAGGCATGGGGTTGCAACGGGCAGACCCAGTGAGGACGCAAGGTGGCAGGCCAGCCGCAGTCACACATTCGCGTGCAGATAAACCAGGTGAAGGAGTGAGCAGTGAGATAGACCACGCAGGCTCCAGTGGTGGGAAGCAGCAGAGGGGACCACTATTGCCCCTCTCTGACCCTGCCCCCACATACAGTGTCACAACCCAGTGACTGAGTTGCCCTGCCCTGGTGAACACCTAGGGCTCTGACCCTCATATGTAACAAGTGCAAATAGACCAAAACATTATGGCTCAAGAAGAACTCAAAGCCCCAGAGTCAATGATTCCAAGCGACCAAGAAATAGCCAACCTATCAGATGCACAGTTCAAAACACTGATGATCAGGATGCTCACAGAACTGGTCGATTTTGGACACAAATTAGAGGAACAAATGAAGGCTAAACTAAGTGAAATGAATGGAAATGCACAGGAAACCAATAGTGATGAGAAGGAAACTGGGACTCAAATCAATGGGGTGGACCAGAAGGAAGAAGAAAATGACCAAACAGAAAAGAATGAAGAAACAAGAATTCAAAAAAATGAGGAGAGGCTTAGGAACCTCCAGGACATCTTTAAACGTTCCAACATCCCAATTATAGAAGAGGGAGAGGAAGGGGAAGAAGGGGAAGAGGAAGAGCAAGAAGTAGAAACCTTATTTGAACGAATAATAAAGGAGAACTTCCCCAATCTGGCAAAGGAAATAGTCTTCCAGGAAATCTAGGAAGCTCAGAGAGTACCAAAGAAGTTGGACCCAAGAAGGAACACACCAAGGCACATCATCATTACATTAGCCAAGATTAAAATGAAGGAGAGAATCCTAGAAGCAGCAAGAGATAAGGGGACAGTCACCTACAAAGGAGTCCCCATCAGACTGCCAGCGGATTTCTCAAAAGAGACCTTACAGGCAAGAAGGGGCTGGAAAGAGGTATTCCAAGTCATGATATCCAAAGACCTACATCCAAGATTGCTCTATCCAGCAAAGCTTTCATTTAGAATGGAAGGACAGATAAAGTGCTTCTCAGATAAGATCAAATTCAAGGAGTTCATCATCACCAAGCCCTTATTATATGAAATGTTAAAGGGACTTATCTAAGAAAAACAAGATAAAAAATATGAACAGTGAAAGGACAGCAAACTCACAGTTATTAACAACCACACCTAAAACAAAAGCAAACTAAGAGGACAGCTAGATCAGGAGCAGAACCATAGAAATGAAGATCACATGGAGGGTTAGCAACAGGGGAGTGGGAGAAGGATAAGGGGGGAGAAGGTACAGAAAATAAGTAGCATAGATGGCAGGTATAAAATAGATAGGGGGGAGGGCAAGAATAGTATGGGAAATGTAGAATCTAAAGAACTTGAGACACGTGGACATAAACTAAAGGGGGGATGGTGGGGGAGGGGGTGTGCAGGGTGGAGGGGAATGAAGGGAGGAAATAGGACAGCTGTAATGTCATAATCAATAAAATATATTTAAAAAAGAAAATAATGGAACCAAATAATAATAATAATAATAATAATAATAATAATAAAGATTTGGATTAAGTTAAAAAAAAAGAAGTGTTTTAACCTAGGTAGTTTTTATATGGGTGTTTTTTGTGCTATTTGTTTGAAATTTCCTGTATGTTGGAAAATTATCACAGTTTACTTTGCAGTTGGAACAATATGTTTTTTTCCTCCCCCGAAAGCCAGGAACCTACGCTATTGGCAGTATCACAAGAGGTCTGCACTTTATCTAGATAAAGACAGAGAATGTTACTAATACCTGTCCACATACAGACGTCTAGCCCAGGAAAGGACAATTCCAGGATGAAAGAAGATGGAGAAAGTGAAGAGAATACCTGTAACTTAAGAGTATCAAGAGTGGGAGGTGGCACTAGAATGATTTGGCAATATTTTGGGCTGTCATTAGAACAAAAGACTCTTCACCAGGGCTGTGGGATGTGCTACGTACTGGAAATAACACGAAACCAGAGACAACTGGTCAGAATTTGGATTTTGCTATATGCATATATTAACCATGAGATTTTGGCTAAGACACTTGACCACTTTGATTCCACATTCCTCACATATGTAAAATGCTTGCTATAAAATTAATACCTGCCACTCATGTAAAAATATTGTATAGTAAAATGGTAGATTGGTGTAACAACACTTTAAACCAGTTACAAAAATTTGAAGGTTTTGAGGTGTGAGATTTAGAATTGCTTTCCACTAGCTCGTTTACAAAAATATTTCATCTTCCACTAAAAATGAGGGTCATGAAAGCCTCTATGGAAATAATGATACTTAAGGAGTTGAGTGTTTTTTTGGTTGTTATTGTTACTATCAACCAATTTTTAGCATTATATATGAATTTCTGTATATCCTATCCAATTGATTTGAAAGCGAATCAAAAATATATTTATTGACTGACTCATTTAATAAAGGAATTTGAGGAAAGAACATCAATTTAATGTTTTTGTATCTTTTTATATTTGGATCATGCATTTGTTTTGGCTTCCAAATTAAAAACGTGGTCACTTGTAGTGACCTAGACCTACCATCTAGTACCATAGTTTCAGCCCCTCTCTCTTTTTAGCATAACTTTCTGTGCTTCAGCATCTGGAAAACTCCAAACTACACGTTGCAGACACCTTTGCTTAGTAACGTTCAGTATGCTAATTGTTTTACCAATTGCATATTAGGAGGGGAGCAAATAACCCCCTGGAATTTAATAATAAAAAATTGTGTATTTATTCTTACATGTTTACACTTCAGGCAAACTACTCCCCATTTGATACATGTATCAAGATGTTCTTTCCACTGCTCAAAACAGTTTTTGAAGTCCTTGATTTTGATGCCTTTTAGAGCTTCTGCCACTTTTTTTATTTCAACTCTTCCACATCAGCACAATGTTTCCTTTTGAGGACTTTTTTCATCAGGGAAAACAAACAAACAAAAAACTGCTGGGGTGAGATCGGTGAATAGGGAGGGTGGGGCACAGGGGTCATGATGTTATTGGTCGAAAACTGCTTAACACTTTGCTGTGTGGGCAGGTGCACTGGTAAATCACACTTCATGAAATGGGCAAATGCATTTGAAAGACTTAAAAAAAATTACTGAAGCCTAACGTCGCCTCTCACAATACCACCAACTATCTCACAATACCACCAGCTAGTGCACTGACACGGGTGAGTTCCTGGAACACTCACTTAGCAAGGGAAGCCTGTACTACAAGGGGCCCAAACCTCCAGAAGATAATTCGGGTTTGGGGGGGGGTCCTCTTTCGTACATCAGAGTAAGTTTGCAGATTCTGTTTTGATGATGCTGGCAAATACAGCTGTGGAGACCTTGTTTTTTTCAGCAGCAGCGTTTCATTGCCCAGTCTGTCACTGTTGAGAAGGCTGGAACTGTGGGGTAGTGGCTTCAGGACTCCATCTTCCTGGTTGTGCCCATGGGCCAATTTGTCACTGTTGTTTAGGGAGTTATGTTTGTATGCCAGACCTTTTCCAGTCTTTCCAATGATTGTGAATGTACCCAATTCACCTCCATGAAAAATCCCTTTCCGTCTGGAGTAGGTATCTGATCACTGGAACTGAGTCCTAACTGATCGATTTGCAGATGCTTTGTGAGCAGGAACCTTGTGATATAACGAAATGACCTTACATTTTTTTCTTGAGGGAAAGAGACGATAAATAAGTAGAAGTTTTAGTAAGATGGTGATAGTGCTACAGATAAAACTTGGAAAAGGGCATAGGAGTGCAGGAGATGGATTTTACAATTTTAAATAAAGTGGTCCTATAAGGCTTCGCTGATAAAATGTCTTTTGAGACCTAGTGTTTCAATTACGTGCAAAGCCATGGTGGAGTTACTGTGTTAAAAATGCAATTATCCAATTACTTTTTTTCCTTAGATACCTCCCCGCCCACTAAGTAACACTACTTTTCATCTCCAGCCGGCTATATTGTTTACCCACAACAAACATGGCAGTAAAGTCTTCAGCCCGACACTTGAGCGCTCAATAAGGATAGCTGCAGCACTTCCTGTCTTTGCCCTCAACAAAGATGGCGACACTACTTCCTGTTCTCGGTTTTCACCTTTGATAAAGATGGTGCTTATGGCTCAGGTTCCCTAACACTGGATTCCGGTGGCAGTTTTATTTATTTATTTTTTAAGATACGTGTTTGCAGACGTAAGTAACAGGAAAGCAGAAGCTCCGCATCCATCTTTTCTCGAAGGCCCGGTGCAGTGGGGTCTGTGGCCTAACGGCCTGGGCCGACACGGCTCCCCCTCCCTCCTATCCTGCGGGCGGAAACCCGAGTGGAGCCGCTTTGGGTGGCTGGCGGTGGGGGTGAGCGGGGCCCAGCTCTCCCCTCGGTCCTCCCAGAAGGTCATTCCCAACACCTTCTTTTTAGCGGGTCAGGTTGTCCCCCAAACCTCTCGTAGTCCCTCCTGTTCGTGATACAAGCTTCCGCTGCTGAGACGGGACAAAAACAAATTGCAAATGGGCGCCGGCAGCCAAGAAGTGCACGGCATCCTCACCTGCCACCACTCGGACTGGGGCCCTGGGCTGCCTGGAGGGCTGGGGGCGGGGGGCGGGCGCGGGCCGTGGTTCACTCTGTGTGGGTGCCCCTGCCACTTACACAACCTCCCCTCAGCTCACTGGTGCAGTGGTCTTGGCAAAATGCCCTCAAACCCTGCGTGTCAGGCCTGGCGTGTGGACTTTTTTCAATTCAGACTTGCAAGTCTGAATTTTTCAAGGGATGGGGTGGAATTTCTGATTATATACAAGATTACTGGAGACTGGACACAAACACTTAAATGTTTTTCTTGAATGTGATGGTGTATAAACCTTTTCTCCTACGGTAAGAGATTTTTAAACTTATTGGTACTGCTGGTTTCTGGCCCCCCCCCCCCCCCCCCCCCGTGCCCATTGCCGAGCAGCTTCTGCCAATACCCATGTTCAAAAGGGCACCTGCAGGCAGTTTTCTGCAGTGGTGGGGCAACTCTGCTGAAGACACTATTCAAATAAAACCACTGTTTCTTCTCAACTATGTTAAAATGAAATGTCTTTTAATGTACTACTCTGATAAAAGTTGCTTTTAAAGCAGGGTATCTGAACCACTCCCCCCCCCCCCAATGTTTTTATAGAATAAGGAATTGAGCTGGGACTCCCGTTGTGTGGAAACCAGAATCAGAAAAAAAAGATTCATATTCGAGAGTTTTCTTGAATTATGAAACAGATTATGTTTGAAACAGTTGAAATGAATTAGTCTTGGCTTAATAGCCGGAAGTTCAACACCATGGCCGGCACTCTAGGGTTCAAAGATGTCCATTTCCTTCAGGAGATGACATTGTAGGGCAATAGCTTTAGGGACACATCAGTATTCCTGTAATCTGAGCTACAATTTTGTCTTTTCCCAGGGGGAAATGGAGGCTAGAGACAAGCAAGTGCTTCGCTCCCTCCGCCTGGAGCTGGGTGCCGAAGTACTGGTGGAGGGACTGGTTCTTCAGTATCTTTACCAGGAAGGGGTCTTAACAGAAAACCATGTTCAAGAAATCAAAGCTCAAACCACAGGCCTCCGGAAAACAATGCTGCTCTTGGATATCCTGCCTTCCAGAGGTCCTAAAGCATTTGATACATTCCTAGATTCCCTACAAGAATTTCCCTGGGTGAGGGAGAAGCTAGAGAAGGCAAGAGAAGAAGCCATAACTGAGCTGCGTGCAGGTATGCCTCAAAAGATCACTTCAGACCAGCTCCAGAATTGTTGAATTACAGCCTTTGGATTTGAAATTGGGGTTTTAGGCTGCGAGGGGATCAGCAGTTCCCAAAAGTGGGTAAGGAGTTTGGACTGAAGACAAGGCATTTACAGGGGTGGGATGGGGAGGTGGAATTAGGAAGTGCCAGGAAAGAAGGAAAAATGAACCATGCTTGAGAGGGTGAGGAGGGCGCTCAGAGAACAGAAATGCTTCCAGGGAAACTTGGCAAATCACTGGGGAGTCATGTTCTCATCTGGGAGCCAGGTCATATCTCAGTCGTTGGCATCAGGAGCCATTTGGAAAGTGCAGACGGGAAAGTGGGCATTAGGCCTCCTGGTAACTGCTTCATGGGTGCCAGAGCTGCCGGCTGGAAAGGTCAGGTTCTTGAAGGAGGAGACAGCCTCTAGGAAGGCTGGCCTTGCACCTGTTCCCTGGGCTGTACTACGAGGCCAAAAGGGATTATCTGGAAGGCTGGCTTAATTTGTTTTTAAAGGTATTGATTTAAAGTCATCCTGTGTAGTTTGGTTTATTCAGACACCCAGAGTATTTAACTTTGTAAGGATAGTAGTTTGTGATGGGTGTCATTTTGATGTTAAGGAAAGTTGAAAACTATGGACAAGAGAGCCCTAGGGCCGTTAACCTGGCATTAGGTTGTAGCAGGAAGATGTGATATGAAATACTTGTCCCCTTGTAACAGCTCCCATGATTTATACTTTTTACAAAAACTGAGGAGCAGAGAACTGAACTGACAAAAAAAATTGAAAGTTGACTTCCAAATTTTTATCAGAGTTAGGAAATCAACATTCTCTGGAGTTTTTGATAGCTTCAGAAGTCTAAACTTCTCCAATCAGTGGTTGCTAGACTTTGTTAGTGCTGTTTTTAAAATACCAGTATATCTGGTTAAAAAGCAAATACCAGTAATAAAAGACCACTTTTATTGTTTTTGCCTCATGGAGCTCATATTTTGAATGATTTTTACAGATGTTTATTAAGTACTCATGATTAATTTTTCTATTTTTATTAATGACATATGTCTGAATATTTGATCAGCATGAGTTAACCAGTTAACTTAGGAAGGCCTAGTAAAATCCCAGTGGAAAAAGAAAAAAATATTTTCATTTCCTGGTATGACCAAATTACAAGCCAGTTTATGTTTTATGCTTTTTGAAATGCTGAAAGTAGTTGGTCTTTGAAGACCACAGGAATTCTCAGGTATGAGAACAAAGACAAATGAAAGTGTCTAAGACATTTCTACTCCTTTATTGAAAGCAGAATAAATTGCATAGAATTGGGGAGATGTTAAAAAAATATTAGGGTATCCGATGTCTTTTCCTGGTATGTGACTTAGAGGTTCTTCTTGGCAAAATATAGTTGGAAACAATAAAACAGCAAACTGAAAGCCGGTTTCTACCAAAATGTTTACTGTAATTTTATAATCACTTCGGGTGATGTAAATAGTACTGTTGTGTGTTTTTAATAGGGGTATGACGTCATTGTCATTTCTTCAGATTCATTCTGAGAACAAGAAAAAAATTTAAGATGTTTTATAACCAAATGATGAAAGTTACAGAGAAGTTGAGAGAATAATAGTTTTGTTTTGTTTTTAAGTAAGCAGAACAAAACATTATAGAGTGGGAAGAAAAATCTAGTGTGTCTGTATTGAAGTTTAGAAAAATAATGTTAGTTTGTTAATTATGTGGGAGTGGTCAAATGTGAAGATAGGTTGGCTACTGCACAAATTAAGCACTCTTAATTGTTTTCTTGTTGAGTATCTTTGCTAAAAAATATTCTGAAGACAGTTTGATTTACATATATCTGTATATGCCTTCTACAATGACAGTTGTGTAAATTCACTTTTAAAATAGTTATTGTTAATTATCGAGTATTTTAAGATCACAAGATATACATAAGGTATGGAGAATAATGGTATAGTAAACTTCTGTTTCCCTATTACTCAGTTAAAAAAATGTTACCATTGCCCTTGAGGACCCGGGGTGCTCCTCCCCAGTCCTCCCTCATCCTCAACCCCCACTCACTGATAAACCCTGAATTTGGGGTTTGTCACTCCCTTCTTCACTTTGTAGTTTTCCACTTCGTAATCATCACTTTTAAAATCTACATACATTGTAGAAAAATTCACTATGCCATAATTTTAGCTGTATGTATATATACACACATATATACACATAATATATGTAAGGGATGGAGGAAATTAAATTATTTTAAAGGAGTTCTTAGGTAATGGCCTCTTATTTGAGACCTTCAGCTTTGTGTTTAAATTAATTATTAATTAATTTGATGGTAGTATTTTAGTTCTAAAATTAAATTGGGACTTAAGTGAAACATTCTTTTTTAAAAAATCTTGGGAAAAAATCAGAGTTGAAGTGCCTTCAATTTAATGTCCCTGTAAAAAATTGTGAATGGACCTAGAGGCCTATCTTTCAGGACCTCAGTGCTTCTTCAGTGTTGTAATACAGTAATTTTAATAAAAATGTAAATAGTCCATTAAAAGTTTTGTAAATTTTTGAATTTTGAATAACTAGACTGTAGGAAAGTGTGGTGCTTATCTAGGTGTATATATACATCAGCCTTTCTGACCCTTTTCAATAATTTTGGTTGCAATTATTAATTAATTTGTATAGACTTGGTAGTTTCCTCTTAGAAGGAATGGCTTTCTCTTTATCTAAGAGGTAGGTCTTTCTTTAAGAAAGAGCTGATTTTATTTTATTGAAGAGTTTTCTTGTTCCAGGGATTATTTGTTTCCCCTTTGTTTGTCTGAGTTGAATTTTTGTATTTCATTTGTGAATTTGGAGCTGCCTCAAAGGCCTTATTTGGTGCTTGATTTTATGTATGTTAGTTCTTTTTATGTATGTTCTGGATTTAAACCTTTGATTCTCTCAGAATCTGCCTAGATGACTGGTCTTCCCTATCTCTGTTAATAAAACTCTAGGATGTTAATGGAGAATTGATTTTGTGTTTTTCTCACCCTGTAAGGACTCTTATCTTTTAAAAGAGGAATTCTGGCAATAAAATGACTTAATCCAGCGTGACATCATGGAAGGAACATAGTACAGTGTGTCTCATACTGGCCAAGGTCATGAAGTAGACACTAGATCAGTTGGAGATCCTCTCGGCTCCTGAGGTCATTTAGCAGATGAGGATAATGCTGAATTTGGGTGAAGGCCACACATGCCTGCCCGTCTGCCTTCCCACTGCTCATTGCTCTGTCTGCAGTAACAGGCGCACTCTAGTGCCTGAGCTACTCTGGATCTGGAAAGGAGGTTTAGGGGCAGCCGCAGTCTCACTAGCTGGTAGGACTTAGTCTAAGTGATGGTGGGAGTGACTCTTGGGTCCCAGGACTTCCCGGTCCATTGTGTTGGCCCTGGCTGTGAGACTGGGTCTCTGCCCTGATCCTCATTTAACAGTCAGCCGGCAACTCTGCCTTTAACCCTTTAGGCTTGGGAGTTATTTATTTATTTTTTACTTCTCTAAGCTAGATTTCTGCTGCACTGGCAGGATATCTTGGAACAAAACTCTGTGCCTCCTATGTTAGCATCAGATGTCTCAATTCTTTAGCCTGCTAGAGTGGCTGTCCTGGGGCTGACCTTTACTTCAACCTGGCTTGAGCTTGAGCTAGTGAGTCCTTGCCATGGACCTTGTGCCCTGGCCTCCATGGCTGCCCTCCCTGGAGCAAGACGCACGGCTGGCCTGTTCTCCGCTACTCACCAGCTCCAGGGCTCAGCCTGTCCAGGGCTTACCCCTTTTGGAGCTGGCATTGCCTGACCATGTATAGGCTCATCAGCCACTCTCTCAAGATATATTCTGGCTTCCACATGTAGACTTGGATGCATCTGATGTTACTGAGCAATAATGGCAAAAATTTTAGGCATTGTAATAGGTTTATTAGAGAGCTTCGTAGTCTGGGATTTTCTAGTCATACTGTGACTTGACTGTACTCTGCATATAAGTTCAGTGTTGATCTCAGTTTATCTAGCTTATGGTCTGTCCAGGAACTTCTACTGTGGCTGAGTAGAGTTTACTTTGTGGCATCCTGTGTACTAAAGAGGGAATGGTGAGCGAGCATTCTCAGCAAGACCCTTTCTTTTGGTAAGGGCAGAGTCCACAGAGAGCTTAGGTTTCTTGTTTCCCCTGGCATGATTTTCATATCTTCCTAAGGACCTGGGTGCCAGGGTCTAGGTAATAAAGATGTGTGAAGGATCTTCAGATCAACTGAGGGGATTCATTTGTTCATTCAACAGATAATGAGTATTGACCATGTGCCAGACATTAGATGCTAGGGATATTACAGTAAACAAAGCCCCTACTCTTATGAGCTCACTATATTCTACAGTTTGATGGGGATTGGCATCAAGTAAATGAATAAATAATACAATCATGAGCTATATGACAACTTCTTGGTTAATGACAGACTATATATATGATGGTGGTTTTATAAGCTTATAAAGGAGCTGAAAAATGCCTATTGCCTAGTGATGTCTTAGCCGTCATAATGTCGTAGGGCAATGTCGTAGGGAAACACTCAGGTGTTTGTGGTGATGCTGGTATAAACAAGCCTACTGTGCTGCCTGTGCTATACAAGTGTAGCACATACAATTAGGTACAGCACATAATAGTTGATAGTAAATAACTGTTATTGATTTATGTTCTATCATACTGTAATTTTTATTCTTTTAGAGTATTCTTTCTACTTATTACAAACATCGTACTGTACAACAGTATGCAGTGCTACTCTAGCAGCTGCCTCAAACATCTGGAGCTTACCACATCTCTTGATTGTATCATTTTCTCATACACTTGATTAAATCTCATGTCGTTTATACAGTAACATGCCATACAGGCTTGTAGCATGGGAGCAGTGGGCCATAGTATATTGCCCACGTGTGTGGTAGGCTCTACCATCTAAGTCTGTGTAAGTGCACTCTGTGATGTTCACAGAACAGTGAAATC